ACACACACAGCCTCTCCTGTCTACCTTACGACCATCAGTTCTGAAACCTCTTCAAACTGCTCCACAGACACGCCGCACCAATTATACACATAACACCGAACGAACCACCGATACAAAAAGCGGATCAAACAGACGAGAGTGCAAGGGGTGGTGGGGGGCGACAGAGAGAAGAACAGCCAGACCCCTCTTCTTCACTCGAAGGAGAATAGAGTGCGACTTCTCCTTGCTTACGCAGGCCAAGATTGCCAAGATTGATTGCCGATTTCGCTTCTGCCTCTATCGGCATCGCATCCATCCTCGGTACTTCTATTTGCAGATCTCGTGGAAAGAGAGAACGTAAACAGAGAAAAATTCGCCCCAAGAGAACGAGTGACGTAATCTAGTCACTACCACGGAAAGGCGAGGCAGACAAGCAAGAAGAAAACCGGAGGCAGGAGAAAGCCGGGAAGACATGGGAGAGCATAAGAAAGAAGCTAGATGTGGGTACGAAAGTGCGGACTTAGACAGAAAATAGGAAAAGGACGTAGCGAAAGGACTTAGGTGTTGCTGATGCGAGTACACAGAGCCACTGCTCACCACGTACCTTGCTCCGAAAGGACACAATCGTAATCGCTCCCCCGTACGGTTGCGAGCGCACGCTTGATCTGAGAAACGTCTGCGATCTCCTTTTATTCCTTCATCACATGCGCCATCTTCTTCGCTACAACACCCGCAACTCGGAACTGCCTCCCGCCAAGTACTGTACTCCCAGTTGTAGGAGCTGACGTGCAGTGCTCTCCTGTTTTGTTTTGTTTTTTCCTTTCTTTCTTTCTTTTCTTTTCTTTTCTTTTTTCCCTTTTTTTTTTTTTTTTTACATATATACACATCTTACGAAAGGGCGCTTCATTGATCAGACGAGGGGTACAAGCACCTGCCCGATGAAGGGTCCGAACCTTTCCGCGATGGCTCCTTTTATTCCTTCATCACATGCGCCATTTTCTTCGCTATCGCCCGCCTCCACAAGACCCGCAACTCGGAGCTGCCTGCCGCCAAGTCCTATACTCCCAGTTGCAGGTGCTGACGTGCAGTGCTGTCCTGGCTTGCTTTTTCCTTTTCTTGTCTGTACACACATCTTACGAAAGGGCGCTTCATTGATCAGACCAGGGGTAAAAGCACCTGCCCGATGAAGGGTCCGAACCCTTACGCCATGGCTCCAGACTACCCAAGAGGAGAGTCGCGTGCTGGTAACTGGGGCCAGCGCGTATGCCCCTTTCACACACCATTTCAGTATAAGGGCATACCCAGACTTGGACTTTCTCTGCTTATTTCTGGACCGGATTGCCGCTAGATTCATCCAGGCCGGGCATGCCCTAGGAGACATGTTGATTGCCCCGCTCCCGCCTTCGATGCACTCGTTTTCATTTCGTTCTGTGCCGTGCGGCGAGGCCAGTACTGCACTGCACACTGCACGTCTACTGGCGCCTCCAGGCCTGGTTGTGTCCGTGCCTTCCCGCGCGATTCCCTGCCTGGTTGCCTGGTTGTGTCCGTGCCTTCCGGCGCGAAGTATCCACGATCTAGGAGACTTTCGTTGGGATCTACGATCTAGGAATAATGGCATCGCCAGGCCAGTCTTGAAACGAGCGAAGTGAGAATGAACTTTCCGCTAGGAGATGGCCAGATGCGTCCGCCACAGTTTTGTATTTTTCACGTTTCGAGTGTGGTGTGGCGATGCCCCATCCGCCATGAGTGCAACTAGGCGCAAAAAGACAAAAAACAAAATGGCGGTGTATCATCCCATGTTCTAGTGGAGCGAGGCCCTTTACTTGCAGGCCCTTTACTTTCTGGCGGTGTTTCTTCCTTTCGTTTTTTTTCTTTTTCTTTTTTTTTCGGTCCGTGGGCGGCGTGGGGCAACATGATTTACCTCGTTTGCGAGGCCCTTTACTTGCAGGGATCCCCTCTATATAGTCTTAGGAGTAGTGGTAGGAAGGTAGAAAGAAGTGAAGAGGTGAATGGAGGGAGAAAGGCGAGAAGAATTTGAGAGAAGAACAGACCCCCAAAAAAAACAAACAAACAAAAAAAAAAGAACAAATGAAAAGTGCAGGTTGCAGCACTCGCCATCTGGCATCGGCCAAAATTTTAGATGCGTCTCGACATCTTTTTATTTTTATTTTTATTTTTTTGGATGCGTCTCAGACATCAAGGTTAACCAAATGCATTTAACATCCTTGGGGATGGCGAGCAGTTCGACGAACGGCATCCCCCAACAACAATGCACCCTCAATGTGACTGCATCCAACCGGAAAAATGGCTTGTATACATTCAGAACCAGGTTAGTTTATGTTCGGGGGAAGACGGTAGGCCCTATCGCTGGTATGCTCACGGTTGCACGATGTGGATCGTACCGTTCAACTACATATAAAAGTATGCCTATGCGGGTGATCATAATAGTCTCGATTCGGAGGATAGCATACGCACAGCACGACTGTAGAACATCGCCCGTCATTCAACACGACCGTGCTCTTTGCTTGTAACGCGGTGCCCTTCCTCAGTCTTCTTCTCCCAAGCTCCATCCTCTGCCCTCTCTGCCCCTCTCGCTCAGGTGCCGCTTCCGCTCATACGATGGCGCGCCCGAGCACTGGTCTGCTGCTGGCCACTCCGCTAATTTGCCTTGCCCTCTGCGCCGTGATCCCATCCGTCCATGGTCTCCGCCGGTTGTCATCGGGTTGTGGCGGCTGTCCGTCGTCCTGCGACACGGCGCTGAAGGGCTGCGACTTCTACTTTTATGGTCACGAGAACAACGTGCCGAAGATCAAACTCATCCGAAAGGGAGACAATACCATTTACGTCCGATGCGGTCATATTCTGCACCGGGTTGGGTAAGTCTTCACCGCCTCAACACCATCAATCAATAAAATCCTACTCGTCTTGTCTTTTCTTTCGTTTACTGATTTCGTCTTCTTTCTTCCTTCTTCCGTTCTTCTTTCTTCCTTCTTCCGTTCTTCTTTCTTCCGTCTTCAGTTCATCGCACTTTCCTCTGCTCTTAGGTCGTTCTGGCTTTCCTTCGTTCTCCATTACGTACAATACAGTCGCACTCTGCAATGTCGTAATCCGATTTCTGCTCGATTGCTGTCTTCTTCTTCTTATTCCTTTCGTCGTCTGTTTGTTCCGACCTTTCGATCCCCGTCTTCCGCTTTCTTCCGTTCGATGTCTGTTTGTTGCCACCTTCTGATTCCCGTCGACTTCTTTTTTTCTTCCGTTCATCACTCTGGCTTTTCTTCCTTTTTCACCCCAAAGACCACACAGTCATAACCTCTACGGTCAGCCGAATAGAACGCCAAGTCACTGTGGTCATTTGAGTCGAGATGGAGCGACGATAATGACCGGGCGTGCGTTTTATTCGGGTCAAGACTGTAGTCGAGGCGCACAAGGAATTGCCTTTCGACATGATGTTAGATTTTTTTTTATTTTTTTTTTAGGAAAAAATGATGTTCGATTCCGACTAACGTACTGTGCGGCTTCCGGATCATTGCACACTGCGCTGTGGGGCTTCTCCTGCATAATCACGTCCTGGACTGGGTCTGCGTAAGGAAAGAAAGAAGCGACGAGCCTAATGAGCAGCTGCTCGGATCGGATTGATGCGGAACACGCGGGCCAACGACGGACGTCAAGTCCTTCCGTATTTTCTGCCATAATGTGCCATTTATATGTCCTTCCCCCTGCTTGTCAAACGACCATCTTCTTTTTTTTTTTTTTTTTTTTTTCCCGTTTTCTGTTCATCTGGTCGCATGTGGATTCGAGGTCGGGTCTGCATTTGGACAGGTTAGTGCCGTTGGTGAAAGTTCCATCTGTAAATTTGTCCCATCGCCAAGAAGCAGCTCGACCTGGCCGGTCCTCGAGTGGGGATGATATGTCAGGTGCGGAGCGATCCATGGCATGATGTGATGAGATGGGCTCCCGACTGCCGAGCCAATACATTAATTGAAAGGTTTTGCGATGTTATTTATGACAAAATTTAACGTCAATATGTGGTCGACTCCGATGTGCAGGTACGACACCCGCCCCGTGAAGGTCGTGAACTCTGCAAGCTGCGCGATTCTCCAGGGGCGGACGTGGAACACGAATGCGTGCCAGCATCGGCTGTACGGCAATGGCAGGCACCTTGCGTCTCGCGAGTTCAACGTGGGCAATCCCAGCGACTTCCTGAACGCGTGCATCAAGGTCCAGATCAGCGCGGCGCAGTACGAGGACGGAGGAAACTTCAACAACGGTCACAAGAACCCTAGGGCCTGCATCGTCGTGAAGACGGAGAGGTCCTTTGGGTAGCTGCAGCGGATCGGCCGAAGAAAGGAGAAGATCGGTAGCTAGGGTAAATAACGACTGTTGCAATCGTGTTTGTGTTCTTGTGAACAAGAGTGATATGTGTGTTTTCTTGTGTACAAAAGTGCACTTGCCTCCATTGGTACTTCGGATTTGAATTGGGTGTACTTATTTACAGACGAACACACACACGTAGCACCCCGCTCTAGGTGGAAGATGGAAAATTACGCAGAATGGTGAATTATAATAGCCGCTCCTTTCCTGTAGTCCTTGTAAGGTTGGGATCTATCGAGTACCGCAAACCATGGGTTATGAAGATTTCGTAATTTATACAATTATGGGGAAAAAGGTGTAGATTGAGGTCTGTAGATACAATGACATTGTATGAGTTTTCTTGGTAGCTTCACTTCCATTTAAGTAGGAGATACGGTTGGGGTGGGGGAGAGAGAGAGAGAGAGAGAGAGAGAGAGAGAGAGAGAGAGAGAGAGAGAGAGAGAGAGAGAGAGAGAGAGAGTACAGCTGCAGCATGTTGACGCGATGAGGCACGACTGTTTTGGGGTGTCATTTTCCATTTACAAGCTGAAAATTTCCGTGAAAAGACTTCAGCTTCCCTGTTATCGTATGCGATTTCTTCGGTAGCGAAAAGACCTCAGAATTCAGGAGATCCGTAGTTGTGATGTAGGTATTCTTAGCGTCCCGAGTACTTGCCTTTAGATCTGACGGTCTGAAATTCTCATTAAGGGTTAGCTCTTTGGATCTAGAACAAAGGTGTCCGCAATCAGAGCAGTTTTCATGATAATATCAGGTCACAATGCTTAAACTTTCTATCTGCTCTCTCTCTCTCTCTCTCTCTCTCTCTCTCTCTCTCTCTCTACCTCCCCTCCCTCCCTCCCTCCCTCCCCTCCCGTTTGTGATCGGTCTTTTCGTTTATTTATTTTATTGTAACTGTCTTACAAAAATGGAAGTGCACACTTGTTATATGTGGCAATCTCTCCAGGGGCACCTGTTATATGGTACGGCGCAGATTTTTTTTTTTTTTTTTTTTTTTCAATTTGTCGATTCCTGTGTTGTGCCTGCGCAGGGGGTCATACTCCTCTTCTCTCTCTGTATCGTTCGAATTTGAACGGAAGTCCCGAAGTACACTCCGCACTTTCTCCTCTCTGTATCGTTCGAAGCCCCTTTCATTTCGAAAACGAATGTGACAAGAGCTTTTCGCCCTGGCATCGGAGGCCGTACTCCCTCCTGGAGTTTCTTTGAGGACAATCCCATTGTCAATGTGCCCCCATAACTTACAGATATTATAGGGCACCCTCTTTTGCCTACCCGAATGGAACGCCCGGTCATTATTAAAGGTCCAGTTTCAGGAAGGCCTATTGGCCCACGTATTTGCAAAAGTAACGGCAGGTTTTTCCCGCCCACTTCAACTGAACTGCAGAAAAGGAGGAGGTACAGAAGAGCCTGAGGCCCTCACCTGGGATCTTGGACCAGGAGGCGCTGAAGTTCCTCCGGGACACCCGGGCCTCCCAAGCTGCCCACAACTGGATGGATGCCTGCTATATTTAGAAGTTCACTAGGCATCATTGAGGTCCCTTGAGCTTGAGTGCTGCCCTGAGCAGCGGAGGAAACAGCACGCGCTAACCTGTGCATCGAAGCAACAAGAATTCTCTGTAAGTTCTGTGGAAGGGTATTTTGCAATTTTTCGCGGAGCACGTGCACGCGATTTTCGAGGGTTAGGTATGTACCCGACTTCTTGGTTGAGGAATCTGGCCTTCTTTGCATCAAAATTCTTTCTGCTCAAATTAGGATACTCACATCAAAACTTATTTGGAATTCATTTGAGTTGACTGTGGTTGGGATTTCAGCCTGCTGTTCTATCCGTACTCAGGCAGCTCTTGTTGAAATAGGTATGTAGTTGAAGTATGAATAGTAGGTAGTAACTGTGTCGCTGTTACAGGTAGATTGAGGTAAATACATGATTTAAGTATAATTAGGGTCGATGACTTGTTTCCCAATTTCGGATAGACCTTAGCATTTAGAGGACCAAGGCGCTGTTGAGGTTTAGTCTAAATGCAGTTTCGTGAAATTCAATTTGCTCCAATAAAAAAAAAAAAAAAGTGGAAAAATTGTGAATGAATCCAACCTGTTTTAGGGGGCAGATAAAGATGCATTGAAGGGATGCTTTAAGAAGTTCGCGAATTCAAAACGCATCTGAGCTCAGTTACTCTAGTTATGATCATTTGGAATATACGAAAGATTTCTCTATTTATTCAATAGGTCCTGGGCGTGAAATCTGGGAAATTTCGCTGCCGAGCATCTAGAACTCATGCCGGGCTCATGGCAAATTCGGGCGCAAGTCACACGGATTGCTTTGGGAGAAGACTATTACCTGGAAACTCTGGGCTGGGTGCATCTGTGGAAGTCGATAGCTAGGATGAGTTCAATAGTTGGAGTCTTTAGTATGTTAACTGGGATAAGTTTCGTCAGTAGAGGTTGATAGCAAGTCAACTAGTTAGGGGCGAGTCGGAGTATTGAGAGTAACTGGATGCTATTAATGTAAAAATTCAAAGTAAGGAGTTGTTCTTACTAAAAAAAAAAAAAAATTACTGTGTCTCGGACCAGATTCAGTGTTAGAGCAAGGTTCACTCGGAAGAATTTGTTGAGGAATAACGAAATGAAAACGGAGTGGCCTATTGGATCGCAAACTAAGGCAGGGGAATTCAAGCTCGATAGGAAGGTGCTATCCGCACCACCGTCTCTCCGGATGAAGGTGTGGTCGATATAACTGTTTTAACCAGGTCCAGCTAACGATAGTACGCTGAATTCGGAAAGTTTGCGCTGACGGAGCAACGCTGAGACTGAAGGAAACACTTGGTTGCTTGGGCAGCGGACTGTGGACGAAGAGAATTTGGGGAGTCGGGGCGGAAAAGGCTTGTAGTGGTTCAAAAAATAAAAATAAAAAAGGGGAGGAAGGGAAGGGGAGGGAAGGGGTAAGCCTTTAAGGCGGTCACTTCCGAAGGTCGGAAGGAGCAACGGAGGAGGATTCGCAGGTAGGAAGTCGGTGGGATAGGCATGTAGCCGGGACCAGTTAGATAGAAGCGGGAGGTGAGCAGCGGTAAGATGGAAAGAGAATTCGCAGGTAGGTAGCACATTGAGTAAATTACAGAGGTATGAATCTAGGTGTAATAATTGGTTAAAATCACTTGCTGAATCATGATGGTGGTACTAACTTGGATGACTATAGGAAAAAAAACAAAAAATAAAATAAAATATTCGAACAGAGTTGAGGATAGAAAGGGAAAATTGGTGTAGGACGGAAGAAGGAAGTACGAATCTTATGGCGCAGAGGTGACGATTCGAAGGAGAGGGTAAAGTAGAAAGGGAGAGAAGGAGAGGATTAGGAACTTGCATTGCTTAGACTGAGGATTAAGCTACGGGACGCATTTAAAAGGGAATCTCTTATTTGACGGTTTGCAATTTTAGAATAGTCCTGAACACGGAAGGGAATCAGAAGAGAGGTCGAAGGAACCACAGAGGAAATCCTCAACATGCTGCTGACTCAATCGAGGGAGTGGCGACTTTGAGGCAACTAGATCGAGGACTTCTGAAGGTGGGAGGAACTAAGTAAGGAAGGATAGGCAGACTAAGGCAGGGTAAAGGAATTTGCGTTAAAAAAAAAAAAAAAAAAACCTCCGCTCCTTAGGGCGTTGGGAATCGCGCCTGAAAATCAGGTCGGGCAGTTTAAGGCGCCGGGAGGCAGTAAAGGCCGACTAAGTAAAAAAAAAAAAAAAAAGGAGGAAAGGCTAACTTGAGGGTATTCGAGGATTAACGGGAATTGAAAAAAAAAAAAAAAAAAAAAAAAGGGGAGACGGTAAGGAAGGGAGGAAGAAACGAGGAAGGCGGGAGGAGTGCGAGTATAAATAAGTTATGTAGCTACGGGACTCATTACTCGCCCCACTCGGAAGTAATTAGTTTCAATGTTCGCCCTACTCGGACGGCGTTCAGGGCGGTAGAAGGGCGCGTTAGTAAACTTGAGAGTGAATTCTCTCGTGGGTAGGACCGGTGGGCAAAGGTGACGAGTCCGCGGGCAGAATGGCTTCCGGCCATGCCGAAGGATAGAGTAGAAGGTACGAGATGAGTGGAAGGTCTAGGAAGGCTTCCACCAGGGATAAAAGGCTGACTCAAAGGAAGCTGTTGATGGGAGTGCTAGAAGATCGGAGACGATTGATTAGTACACAGGCGATGGCTGCGCTAGTTTAGGACTTGGAACTACGGGATTCTAGCGACCTGAAGAAATGAGCAGTTCAGGGCGGTAACGCCAGCCTTTTCATGCCTTCTGCCATTACGAGTCTTCGTTCGAAACAAGCTGTTGCGTTAATCTGGGGTTGGTGAATTGGAATTGGAAGTTGGAGGATACGGTTTTGAATCTAGCAGGCTAGTACTGCGGTGTACTCTCTCAAACGAAGGAAGATTGGGAAGATGAAGGACGTATTCTCGTCATTCGGAACCGGGAGCGACTGGACCACAGTCGTTCCGGCCGGAACGACGGAGCCATCAGGGACAAGAGCAGCCGAATGCTTGTCAGACGAGGTGAGGAGGATGAGATTGGTGAACGAGGCAAGAGTCGATACCTTCGTCTTCGATGACGAGTTCCGCAATTACCTAGTGCTAGACGATAGTCGCGGGACCCTGTCGTCTGTAGCGCAAGGACAACTCTTTAGCGGATGGCGGCCAGAGAAGTTGAGAGCCAGCAGAGGTGAGGGGCAGCGAGTTGAAATTCGGTACGGTTTGAAGGCTGTGAAACTTTTTTTGGACAGGCATTGCCTGTGCAAATTAGAGAAGGCAGGGGGTAGTGGTTACCTCGTAATCGTCCATCGCTCCGTTTGGAGCAAAGCCTTGGATCATTGGATCCTTGGTGAGATCCTGGCGGCAAGTACCAAGGTTAGAGGATGCAGGCGCAGTATTGCCGAAGTAAGTAAGGAAGAACTTGAGAGTGCTAAGGAGGAGAGCGCAAAGGAAGCTAGATTAAGAACAGATGAACATAGATGCGGCTTCTTGGGTTTTGGAATTGCGCTAAGCTTGGCAGGGATGTTTCCCGAGAATGGAGATCTCTTCCCAATACTCGTAGGCTTGCTGGATCCGCACGGGATGGCTGAAAACGTGGCAAGCCTGAAATGGAGTGTGGAGCAAATTTCTCGAGATCCGAACGAAGCGCAAAGGAAGGCCTTGCAGCTAGATACGCTGTACAGGTTCGGGGAGGAGGCCTGGATCATGAGCATAGTCAGTGAAAGAGCGGGAGTCGATGAAAGCGAATTCAGGAGCACATTTGTCAAAGGGGGAGGAAAATGTTGGGGATTGCAAGCCAGAAAGAGCGGAGTCTGCTTAGTAAGAGAAGAAGCCATCATGCCGCTTTACTTCCCTCTCGCGTTTTGGAGGAGAGGAGAACCGGAAGAGGATTCTGAGTCGTCCTCCTCTGAGCAAGAACTTGCGGACCGGGAATAGATTCATTGCGAGGTAAATCATCAATCGAGCAGCAAGGACTGAGCTATCAAGAAGGCTTAATTACTAGGACGGCTACCTTGCTGTGAATTCTCTGATTAGAACTGCTACCTAACCCAATCCAGGAGGCGCCGGCCTTTGAATTTAGAGGAGAGGAGGAGACGCCGCTGGGCTCCAGCTTGTTAAAAAAAAAAAAAAAAAAAAAAAAAAAACTGCGACTTCGCTTCCTGGTCTTCTTTCATTTCGTTCTTTATTTGACGGATCTTTTGAGAGAGATTTTTAGATTCAAAGTTGGTCGATTTAGAGTTACGCTTCGAAGGATTTATTAATCAATGAAGGAGGAAGGGTTACGACGAGGAAAGAAGACTCGGACTCAGAATGGGGCGTTCAGATACTGCTCACCTATTTAGCTTCGGCGAAGGCGATCCCCTGTGGAACCAAGGAAGATGGAGGCAGGAGCTTTGAACGATGGTCGCCGTTTGTATCTGACTTGTCGTAACAGCTAGGTGAGAACAGGAAGACTCAGGCGGCAAGGGCACAAGCGACGATCCGAACTGGCTCGGAGCAAGCGAGAAGGACCGCGAGCAAACGACTGGAGGAGACACTCTCGAGACAATAGGGAAACTCCGTTCCTGGACCAAGCCAGAGGAGGACGCGGTGACTATCTGTCGTCCCCTCGTTCGGTAGTCGGGTTCCGCCTCTCCATCGCGTCTTTACCTTGTGAACTAAGTGAGCAACCAGGCGGCCAACACTCGTGCGATCCCGGCGGTGACAGACTCAGTCGAGGATAGGGTCAACCAGAGCGCGAAGGCAGTATTAATCAATCACCGTCTTCAAGAAGACGAGAACCCTCCCGGAAGTTTCGGGCTCTCAGCTGCTCCTAGGAAGCCAGAGATCGACATCCGATCGGCAGGGATGGGTCATCAGATCGGACCATTCGAACAGTGCCTACCTTCCCGAGATGGGGGKGGGAGTAGTACGGAAGGAGGACAAGAACTTAGTAGATGTCAGGCAAAAAAAAAAAAAAAAAGGGGGGGGAGGGAAGGGAAAGGGGGAGGGGAAGCGAAAGTAGGATCCCAATGACTCTCGCAGAATAACAGTCGAGCCTAATTAGCGAAAGACTTGAAGGAAAACGGGTCTGTTTCATTTTGAAGCAGGAAACGCGGGCGTATCTCGTCTGGCGGCTTGATCTTGGTTTTCCCTTTGGGTGGCTGTTTTTTAAATATATATATATATATATATATAAATATCTATCTCATATAATAATAATAATATGATAATAATATGCTAAAAAAAAAAAAAAGGAGGGTGCGTTTGGAGCTATATTTTCCACTTGTTTAGCCTAGGACGGACCGCTTATTCCAGATGTGTCCTTGCAGAGTAGCAGAAACTCAGGGTTTCATTCCGTCCTTCTCAAGGAGCCATATTCAGGCGGTTTGCGGGGCTGCGGGACTTGCGTTTTAAATGAGGACAGATCTGTGAGTATTTTGTTTTTCCCCTAACTCAGGGCTCCCGAATTATAAGGAGAAAGTTGGAACTAAGGGCCTTGCTGCACTATTTTCGAGAATGTGCAAATAGAGAGTGAATCTTTGGCAAAGATACGGAAAAATACACTGTCATGATTTGTTTTTGCGCATCTAGAGTAGTGCAGCAAGACCTCAAAACTTAACTTGTGTTGATGCATAAATATCGGATTGTGTCACGATTCCTGCTGACTGGAATATGAAATGTCCATCCTCTACCACCTCTCTCGCTTGCAACCACGACCAGATTCAGATCAGACCTCACTTGTCTCCATGCGAACTCCCGCACAATCCGCACGGATCCCAAAAAAAAAAACAAAAAAAAAAAGAGAAGTGGAGAAGGGCTGAATCCCCACCAACTAAGGTAGGCCTGAGTTGTCGGATCTGCGCGTCTGGAAACTGCATCAGAGTTTGCGACCGACATCTGGACGGACAGGTGCATGTACATGTACATAGTCGTAGTCGTAATTTTGTCTTGTAGTCGTGATTCCTCTCAGAGGACCTCGCTCCGTCACTCATCGAATATGGAAGATGAGAATGAATCTTTCTGTAAAAAACGGAAAACTACACAGGCATATCTTTTGTCTTTTGTGCGTGTGGAGAGTAGTCGAGCAAGCCCCGTAGTGTGTGTAAGGCCTCACTCCACTACTTCACTCTCGACATGCGCAAAAGACAAATACATTCCCAAAGCTCTAGCTGAACATTCATCCTCATTCATCCTCAGTCATCCTCATTTATCCTCATTTTGTGAAAATAGGAACGACCTTCCGGCTAAACATGGCCAGATGCCCCAGTCCACATTCTGTCGTTTTCACATTTCGATCGAGAGTGGTGCGCCCCTCGGTGGCCGTCGCTGCTGTAGAGTTCCATCGAATGGCGCCATCATCCCAACCCTCATCTTCCACTTTCGTCGACGTCCGTTGCGCTTTCGCAGCCTGCTCGTCGCATCCATCCTTCAGACAGTGGTAAAGTCTTAGTAGTAATCTTAGCGGTAAAATTTTGGTGGGAACTGCCGGCGACCGGGTTTCTCATCAGCGTTGGCAGCATCACCTTGGTGGGAACAGATTGGCGACCGGGATTCTACGGTAAAAGACGCACTAGCAAACACGGACTCTGCAACTGCCAAGGGTACAAATGACAGATTCAGAGCTCGGAGCTCCCGTGCGTTTCCCAGACGCAAGATTCTGAGGCTCGCCAACTCGCTGCTAAAGAATCGGGTTTTCGATAATTTTGCATCACTTCAACGAATCATGACTTAAAAAAAAAAAAAAAAAAAAAAAAAACGGTGGTTCGGGAGTAAGAGACCGAGCAGTCAGAAATTGCTCCGCGCCACCTATCTTGATCCACCTGGCCATGATCAAACCTGCCCCTAGGAAGCCTGCTAAAAAAAAAACAAAAAAAAAAACAAGACTATCAAAGAATTTCTGACACTGTTGAAGATTTCGGTGCTGGACAGTTTATGAAACGAGCCCCTCGCCCTCAGGATTCGGAGCAAACTATTTGATTCCTTTAAGATCACTTCCGTCACATGTAAGGCGGACTTACTCCCTTGTAGATAAGGCGAAATGTGCAAAACGAGAGTGAATTCCCGCTAGAACGTGGAAAGATAGAGTGACATGATTTTGTCTTTTGTGCATTTTAAGAGTCGTGAAGTGAGGCCCATAGAATGCGCGGGAATGGGCGGGAGAATTCTCGGACCAGGCATCTCCCGCCAAAGGCAAGGAAACGTTTTCTAATGACAGATCATGCTATTTTGGAATTATAACTCGATTAGGCATTGCCTGTACCATAAAAAAAAAAAAAAAAAATCTCTCGGACACAAGCAAATCGCGAACCTACCCCACAGGCTGTCGGAACTCGAAGAGTTTCCACAGCTATCGGAAAAGTTTCGAAAATCGGCCGTCGACAGTTTACCCCCTCCGCCATACAGGCTGTCAAACGACAAGGTCTTTTGATCAGGGCCAGGCGGATTTCGCCTTTCTACAAAGTACGCGTGTCAGGGAACGGATCTTGGCGGATGCAAATTCGAACGCAACTCTCCACGGGACGGCGGGCCACTGACGAACTTCCGTCACCTACAGGCTGGAGGAAGCGATTGCTGAGGACGGCTGTCGTAACCGCCATTTTGATATCTGTTAAAAAATATATATATATATACTTTTGAACCGCAATTCTTCGAAGTCAAGGTGGCAATGCAGAATTGTCGAAAATCTGATTTTTGAGAACCTGTGTGGCGAGCCTCTACGGAAGAAACTTCCTCAGCCCAGCGAAAAAAAAAAAAAAAAAAAAAGAGAATGAGGACAGGAGCACTAACAACTACTATTAAGAACTGAGGCACCTGACTCAGCAACCTCAGGGGCACCGCTGCAACACTCTCGAAATACGAAAGAACTTCCTGCTGAAACAAGGCCAGGTGTCCCCGGTACATTTTGTCTTTTCACATTTTGAGAGTAGTGTGGCGAGGCCCTCATTCTTAAGGCTGAGCAATTTTTCAAAACCAACCGCGGCCCAGGAACTCAAAAAAAAAAAAAAAAAAGGGGAAGTGGAAGCGGGGAGAGAGAGAAGAACGAATTTAAAGGTAAATCTAATCAATACACTCCTGTGAAATCGACAGATTAACTCCAAACATGCTCACTCAAGAAGGTAACTCGGATATAAAAAAATAAAATAAAATAAAAAAATAAAAATAAAAAAGGGGGAGAAAGGTGGAAAAGGAGGCCCGTTCAGACTTCTTCCCCTCACCTTTATTAGCCTGTCAATGGTCTGATTTGCAATTCTAACATTAAACAGTCAACTTCGCCCCTTCAAGCATCCGCTTATTATTTCACCATAAAATATATATATATATATATATATATATATATATATATATATATATATATATATATTTATATCGTCATTATGTCATTATGTATATATATACATATATATAATATTACTAATAAATGTATTAATCAAGTATAATAATATGACCCGGACCAATTGCGAAGTACAAATTCACCAATCGACACAATGTTCCCCAACTTTGCAAAAGGAAATGAATGAACTTGAGAGGATGGAGAGGATAAGAAGAAGAAGAAGAAGTAGAAAAGATTGGAAAAGACAATGTACACCAGCAAGAACCAATGTCAAAGCTCTTCTTCTTCGCTCAACTCCCTTGCATCTTATCTCCCCCTCCTCTTTATAAATTCAAACAATAA